TTAGTTTTTCTTGCCTAAGTGTTTCTCTACATTGAAATTCATTTTATGAGTTAGGGCTCCATGTTCAAGTTTGACAAGATCCATCTGGCCTATCATCTAGGGCAGGGGTGTCAAACTCACATCGTCACAGCAGTATCATGTGACATATCAGACTTTTTTCCCCTTCACTAAACTGGGTGTGAGCATGGCCAGTGTGTGACATATCCAGCCTGTGGGCCAGGAGTTGACAGCCCTGATGTTGGCTATGTTGACAGACCTAGGGTGTTGGCTATTCCTGCCAGCTTAGTATCATCTGCATATTTTAAAAATTCCCCTTCTATTCCTTTATCTCAGTCATTTATGAAGATATTGAAGAGTACTGGGCTTAAGATGGAACCTAGAACCCCACTGCTTACTTCCATCGATGTAAAGGTAGTACCGTTAAGGACTACTCATTGAGTACAGTTTGTCAGACAGTTACAAATCCATCTGATGGACAGTGTAACACCCACTTTTTTCTACCTTATCAAGAAATATTGCCAATAACTCTATTAACATGCAAAGTTAATTCTTATATAGAAAGAAGTCATACTTAATTCCCAGTCTACTGTTATGAAAAAAATAATAATCTAAGAGGACTATACTTGTAGCTCTCAGTGGCAAAGCTGCATGGAAAAGCCTGGAAACTTTACATTTTAATTAACTGTGGCATGTTTAATTTTTCAGTGTGGCTAAATGTAATTATGGAGAGTCGTTCAATCATGTTCAATTCTCAAAGACTGCCTGGACAAGTATCTGCAGTTTTCTTGGCAAACTTTTTCATTTAAATTATGTTTAGTCAACTTTAAACTGCAACATATTGTCTTTCCCACTGAGCAATTAACTAATTAACAGTTAACAGTTAACAATTAACGGTTTAGGATTTAAACTATGAAATTAACTATGATTAACTTAAGATTCCATGCAATTTTTACTTGCCTGATGATTATACACAATAAAAATTTGAATATATGAGACTACAACTTACTGGGATTTAGCTGCATAAAATTAACCTAAGAATTTGAACCAGATCAACCAAAAACTACATTTTGATTAACCATTCTAGAGAAATCACACTATACTTTAAGTTACAAAATGTACATTTTTTGCCTTAATTACCTTTTATCTACTCAAAATTTAGAATCATACATTTATCTGATTTATAAATCAGCCTCTTTAGGTGGAATTAAGGGTCTAAATTTTAGGTTTTGTCAAAGAGGAAAGGCATAAGAGTCCTATAATTAGTAGCCTTGAAACTCAAAATGACAAACAGGATGAGAAGGGATAAAATGATCAGAATGAAACACAACAATCTATGTATTATCCATGTTCAGTTTAAGAAGCTAGGACCATATCCAATATGAAATCCTGCTTAGGTAATTGAAAAGAAATGCCAACATTATGTCATGCAGATTATGGTCAGATGAATACATCTGAAAACATCAGCTCATATGTGGTATGTGGTAACTAAACTTGCAATACAAATCAGAGAAAGGAGAACAAGAGTATATAAAGAAAACAAGAGATCCAACACTGCCCTGAAAAATGCTGATTGGCGATGGGAAAGTTTGAGAAATAGAGCCGTTTTATGAAGCCTTGAACAGCAGTCGCCAACCAGTGGACTCACCCCCAGAGCACCCCCCCAAAGCAATTAATCCAGACTGTGTAGAAACACAAGGCTGCCCCGCTCACATGGCCTGCGGGAACCCTCCCCACCCACTCACTCCTTACCCGGAAAACTTGCTTGCTAAATTGATATTTTTCTGACCATCACTTGGTTCTGCTGTGCCAGATTTAGATTAGCTAGGAAGCAGGAAATGGTTGGATTTCCTGCTTTCTAGCTAGTCTTTAGATCTTCGGCTCTGCTTTTAAGCAGAGCCGAACCTCCTTTAGGACTGAGGGTTCTATTATTCACTGCAGACTCACGGCAAGCAAATTTTATGTGACAGACTGAGCTAGCCGATGGCAGATAGATCACTGAATGATTCTGTGAGCAACTCAATCTGCCTGCCTGCTTTGCCTGATTTTGGGTAAAAGTTGCTCTTT